TAGAGACCATACTCATAAGTGAAATAAATCAAACATACATGTGCAAGCACTGCATTGTTTCACTAGTGTAAATCTTGAAAGAGTTAATTTAAACTCGGAGGGATGATAGACACTGTGAAATGATAGGAAACCGCTCAAGAGTAAAGGGCAACTGGGATGTGGGAAAAGAGAAGGGAAAGAAGGAGAAATTTTGTATGTGTGTATATAAAGGATAGTTAACATGGTTGTTCTTCTATCTGCTGTTTCTATGCTGAAAGAAACTGTCAATGAGTCTTTGGTTGACCAGTATTGCATGTCTATATCTGTTTTCATGAGAAGCCACTTTGAAGATATCAATATGTAATACAACAACCATTGTTAATTCCCTACCACTTTGTTTGTAACTCCGTATTATCTGTACTGTTCTTTTGCTATGCTGTAAAATGTTGTCTGTTTGTTAATGTTTTCCTCCTTTTATTTTTAAAATTAAAAAAAAAAAAACTTGAAATTTTCCCTTAGACATAGGAAACATCACAAGGTTGGATTAGTGATTCTAGCCAATATTTTATTGTTTATGATTGCTAGTTACAGACCCTATGGGAAAATTAGTTTTAAAAGTTGCATAAAGTAACCTATGAAGTTAAAAATGAAGAGGAAGTCTATATCAAAAATATTTTTAGAATTCTAAATTAATGTTTATTAAATGTAGCTCTTCTATCACTTTTTTAATTCTTCAGATTTATATAAACCACGTGGCAGAATATTAAGCAAGTAAGAAGCAATCCACTCTTAAAATGTCAACTACAAATCTGCTTGCAAAATTCTCACTTGAAAATTTGCTTTGTTACAACATATATTTAATTAAAATACTGAAAATTACTCTTTTTAGGTATCTTACAAGAAAAATATTTACTGACAGTCATATGAACAGTATCATATGAACAGTAGCCAAGATCAAATTCTACTACATTTTTCCACGTGAGTTCTCTGTTTGTGGTGAAAACACAATCCCTGAATAAAGTGTACTGTTAATGCAATGTCATTTCATTTTTTTATTTGATTTATTCTTAAAGCATGGGCAGTTCTTCCAATTAGAATACATGTGATCTAACTCTGTAGAAAGGATTTGAAG